ATCTGTTCTCTTATTTATTATTCATCTTGTTTGGAGGAAATTTTTAAAGGTTTTAAAGAGAATGAAAATCTTCTAAATAAAAGGAAATATAAAAGTAACTCAATGTAGGCAGACATTATTTTAAAATATGAATGATTCTTGGTTACAGACATTTTTCTATACCCACTACATTTGAAAAGTATTTATTGACATCTAATGTGTACAGGAAAAGGAAATTACCCATGTCTGTGGAATTCACAGTATAACGGGGAAGACAGTCATGAAAATATAAAGCATAATGTAATAGTACCATCCGTGTGTGTATATATATATATGTATTAAAAGTGCTTTAAAAGGCTATAAAATGTCAGACTACCTATGGTGATGGAGATTATTACAGAGGACATTTATGTGCCTGGACTAACTGCTTTTATTTTAAATAAATGCCCCAAATATCCCTGCTTAGAGAGAGATTTAAGTCCTTGTTCCTTGATCGATGTCTTCTTCTGTGTCCTACTGGTAGCCACACAGTACTACTTGGGTATTTACATGCAGTAATCTTTGTGTTGGTTGAGCGTCACTAATCGGAAAATCTGAAGCGCAAAATGTACCAAAATCTGAAACATTTTGAGTGCCAACATGATGTTACAGGTGGAAACATTCCCTATCTTACCTTATGAAACAGGTTTCCAAATGAAGGTGCACTAAAAATACTGCATACAGTGACTTCAGGGTTTGTGTATAAGGTATATTCATATAAAACATAACTGAAGTTCATGTTTATAGTTGGATCCCACCCCCAAGATTTGTCATTATTTATGGAAAAGTCAATAATCTGGGATACAAAATCTGAAATACAAAAGGAATTATCCACACCAGAAACTGTCACAATGTCTATTACTACATAGCTTGTACATGCTTACTGAATGGCTGAAAAAAAATAAAACAGGTATAGTTTCTCATTATGTATACAGAAATATTCCAAAATTTGGAAAAATCTGAAATGTCAAACACTTCTGGTTCTAGGCATTTTGGATTACAGGTTTTTCAGTTTGTTCAACACTCACTTATGCATTCTCATTTTTTCAAGCCTCTTTTTATCCATTCTAGCATTCTAGCATTCTTACATTGTCAGTATAACATCAGATCCAGGATTCCATTTTTATAGAACAATCACCTCTATTATATTAACCCTGATGATGGCCGAGTGTATGTTGTAAAAATGGCTAGATTTTTAATTTATAAGCTGTCACAATGCATAAACACAATTTTTGGAAATCTTGACTTCTGCAGCATGATCTTGCTTATGTTGATGTGCAATGTTACATCCATTCAGTGAGGGAACGATGTAAAAAATGAGAGACTGAAAAATATGGGAAGTGGGTGAGTCTGCCGCCGTGGGCATGGCAAATTATTGAAACTGAGCAGGCATGACAACAGCAAGCTTGACTGACCCGGGAGTTGCCATTAAACCTATGTGCCAACGAAGTTTACTCCATCTGTGCTCTTTAAGTAAATGTAATTGTCAAAGAGTGTGCTTTGGAAAACTAAACTCTCCTCAGCTGATGTTCTATGGATGGGCAGTGTGGGTTTGCACGTATGTATGAAGCTATGCATTTAGATGAGCTGGATGAGTACCTAGAGGGAAGAAGGGCTTGTAAAAAGATGATAATTTATGGGTAGAACTCTGCTGCTCTTCTGCATTCCCCAGAGCAGTTTGGGGAGTAGAAGACTGCCAGTTTGAAACATCAGAAAGCTGTATTCTCAGGTGCCCTTACTGATAATTTTGTGAGAATGTTTTTACAGGCAAAGGAGGCTCTAGATGAGGATTGGTAGTTTTTAAGGAGGTAGTTTTTTAATGAAAGAAATGAAAAGGATAAAAACTAAAGACATGATCTGATGATCTGCAGGATAACTGCCAAAGAGTAGGGAGGCGGGGAGGAGTAAAGGAGGCAGCACCTTGATACATATTTGAAAATACCAGGAAACTAAGGGCAAACTGAACAGCAAATGTCATTCTGAAAATAACTGCTTCGATATTTTATGAATATTTTGTAAAGCCATATCTTTAGTTTTTCTTTGTGAGAACAGCATGGATATATGTATGTATATATATATATATATATATATATATATATATATATATATATATAAAATGTTAGCATTTTTATGAGGATGCAATTATTTGTTAGTGAAAGCTAGAGGGAAACAGAGAGAATTCCAGAGATTGGTCTGTCAGAATTTCAGAATAATACAATGATAGATGAAATTGGAAGTCAACAATAAGCAAAGTAATGCTGTAAAGTCAAGATTTTCAATAGCTGTGTTTATGCATTGTGACAGCTTACAAATTAAAAACCTAGCAACTTTTAAGAAATACACTCAGCCATATAATAGAAGGAAAACATAATAGATGTGCTTGTTCTATGAAAAGGGAAGTCTGGACCCAATGTTACATGGACAACAGGAGAGGAAGGAATTGTGAAAATGGTATTTAATTATTATTATTTGGCACATTTATACATCACATAATTTAAAAGTTGTTATGGACTATAATTTTCCTCTCCAAATTTGTATGCTGAAATCCTAATGCTCAGTACAATGATGTTAAGTGATTAGGTCACAAGTGCAGAACTAATGAACAGAATTAATCCTTCCTAGGAGACATTCCAGGGAGCTCTCTTACTTTCTTCTGTCTTCTGAGGACACAGCAAGATGGCTGTCTATGAGCCAGAACACTGGGCGTCACCAGAGGCAGATTTGAGAAATACGTGTTTATTGCTAAGTTACCTAATTTATGGTATTTTTGTTATAGCAGCCCTAATCAACTAGAATAAAAGTAAAACAAAAAACCGAGCTACTGTGCATTTATATAGGGGCTAGGTAAGTGTTGGTAAGAATGTGGATGGCAAGTTATATTAATTATAAATTCAAATAAAAATAAAACTTAATTTCAAAATCTGTGCAATTCATTAATGTGGAATATTGTTTAGAAGAGCCAAGACAATACTTAAGGCAAAAAATAAAAGTCAATTAGATAAAATTGAAAATTGAGTTTAAAAGTTAAAATGAGAAAAGTCAAATATATCTTGGGAAATGTACCACCTGAAGGAATTTTTAGGAGACCCGAAGACAATTCTAAACGTCAAAAACAATAATTGAGATCTTTCATTTTGTCACATATGATCTTGGACAAATCTAAACTTTTGACTGTATCTCCTCTTCTATACAGAAGGGGAACAAATGGTTTCTTAGATGCTCCTCAGTTACAAATTATTTTCTTTTGTTTTATATTAATGTGCTACCATGATGTCGAAGAATCTTTCTCATCTGTCTTCTGAAATGTTAAGTAGTATTGCTTGCTTTGTAATTGGACATTATGTTCTACTCCTCTGACTCAATGAATTATTTTGCTCATCCCAGGCACAGGAAGGCCCCTGAATTGTTGTTGGTCATAGAGAAGGAACTACGAACATTGGTTCACCATTTAGGGGATTTTTTTTTTTTTTTTCAACGTGTAAGGGAAAGACTCCAGGCACAGTAATTAGAGTAGCCTGAATTTGAAACATAATTAATGTTTACCAGTTGATTGCAATAACAACTGCTTCCTTATCTGCAAAAATAGGGCTACTTTCCATTTTGAAGAATGAGATTATTTAGCACTCAGATCAATACATTTTTGAGGTATTTGTTCCCTTTCTCCTTATTTATAATTCGCCAAGCCCTGACTAGAAAACAGATTTGATTATTTTTGGGTTCTTAAACCAAAGAAATCACTTCCAATAAAACCTTTAAATGAAACGGAATGAAGCAAATCTCAGGAATAACAAAACTCAGCCACATTGACAAGGTTTGAATACCAAAGGGGATCTTAGGCAGTAGTTATTAAATCAATGTAAATTTCCAGGATTCTTCTGCAGAAACATCTTCTGCCAGTGGTCATTTCTTTGCTGATATACAAGATTTCCAGGATGTCATGGGAAAAATTAACTATCATTTCCATTCAGTAGGCCTTGAAGATTGACTATAAATAAAAGCAGCCAGGGTGTCTGCAGGCCTGAAGGTCAAAAAGGGTTTAACTCCCCATGGAGCTGCGCTCAGAGCCCCAGCTCCTTGGTGCCTGGCCCTCGGGTCCCCTTTCCTTTTCTTTCTTCCTTCTCAGCTGAGCTCCCATCCCCACCCCATTTGGATGCTTCTTCACTTTTCCTATCTTCGCTTTCTCCAATAAATGGTCAAAATGGGAAGTGGAAGAATCTGCATCCTTGTTTAGTGCTGAAAAGGTTTTTAATGGGGGGGTGTGGAGTGAGGGCGGGGAGGAAAAACAGAAAAATAATCCTTCAACAAGGTTCTCCACTTCGCAATGAGTCCGAATCTCTTCTCCCCGCCCCCCCCCCCAACCAGGTCCACCAGGAAAAAAGCCCCCATCAAATTGTTCGCTACAGTCAGGGGTTGGTGCCAGCTCGGTCGGAGAGGGACCGAGTCCCCTGCGGCAAGGCACGGTCCCCGCGCGCGGGAGCGCAGCGCCTCGGAATCCCGCCCCGCGCAGGGGGAGACGAGGGCGAGGCTGCCGTGCTGCCCAGCCGGGGAAGCCCGCCGGCGCGCGCAGGTTGCGGGCGGCGGTGGCGGTGGCGGTGGCGGTGGCGGTGGCGGCGGCAGCTGCGGCAGCGTGGCCGCGACACGGCTGCCGCAGGGGAGCGGCGGCGGCGGCGGCGGGCGCGAGGGGCGGGGCGCTCCCCGCAAGTTCGGCTGCCGCGCCGCGCCGCGCGCTCCTGGCCGCGCTGCTGCTGCGGGCTGCGGGGCGCCCAGCCGAGGCCGGCCCGGGAGTCCGTCTCCGTCGGGTGTCGTGGCGCCTCCCGCAGGGAGTCCCCGCAGCGGCCGGGCCCGGGACGTGCGGGGCCGGAGGCCGAGGCGGGCGCCCCCCAGCGGCCAGCGCGGGCCCATGGCCGGGCGCGGCGGAGCGGAACCGGCGAGGTGAAGCCCGGGCCGGCGGCCGAGCGCGCGGCGGGGCGCCGGCTCCATGGGCTTGGGCGCTCGGCGGCGCGATGATGGGCGTTAACAGCAGCGGCCGCCCGGACCTGTACGGGCACCTGCACTCCATCCTCCTGCCCGGGCGCGGGCTGCCGGACTGGAGCCCCGACGGGGGCGCCGACCCGGGCGTCAGCACCTGGACGCCGCGCCTGCTGAGCGGGGTCCCCGAGGTGGCCGCCAGCCCCTCGCCCAGCTGGGACGGGACCTGGGACAATGTCTCCGGCTGCGGAGAGCAGATCAACTACGGCCGAGCCGAGAAAGTTGTGATCGGCTCCATCCTGACGCTCATCACGCTGCTGACGATCGCGGGCAACTGCCTGGTGGTGATCTCCGTGTGCTTCGTCAAGAAGCTCCGCCAGCCCTCTAATTACCTGATCGTGTCCCTGGCGCTGGCCGACCTCTCGGTGGCCGTGGCCGTCATGCCCTTCGTCAGCGTCACCGACCTCATCGGGGGCAAGTGGATCTTTGGCCACTTCTTCTGCAACGTCTTCATCGCCATGGACGTCATGTGCTGCACGGCCTCGATCATGACTCTGTGCGTGATCAGCATTGACAGGTAAGGGCCAGGCCGTCCCGTCCCGGCTGTGGCCGGGACTGTGGCCGCTTCGCCGTGAACGGTCGCCTTTGCTGGGAAGATCAAGGCTGACTTCACGGCGGAATGAAGGGCAGAGCTTAAAATACAGTCCCACCTGCAGCAGTCCCACAACTTCAGCGCCAGAAAGCCTATATACGTGCGCCTTTAGACAAAAAGCCCAACGTTCCCATTTATTGTAGTTATAATTTTAAGACCAAAGTTAGAGTAGGTTAAGCATTAGCAGTTCCACCAGGGGGTCCCTTGGCTTGGTTTTCAGGAGGAAGAGGTTTGATGTTTTTTAACTTAATAAACCCTTGCTGGGAGCAGGAGAATTATTTTTTGCTTTAATAAACCAGTTGAAAAAAAAAATAAACCGCTACCTTGCTTCTGATTGTAGGAGCAACTTTAGGCCAATGAAAGGACCTTGGATAGTTCCAGAAGTAGGGATCTACCTGTCTTAAACGCTTTACTTTTGTGGTTGCTACTTGTGAATCCCGTTCTTGTGGAAGTCTGATTTCAGTGTTTGGCAACGCTGTTGCTTCTTGCCAGCTCACTGATTGGATCCTTACCCCTTACTCCTTACTCCTTGTTGAAAAGGTAGGTTCTAGTTTTTCTTCACGTACCCATTGGGAACTGACCCTTAGGAACTCCCTCAATAGAATAACCAAAACAGGGATGCTGGGGGAAAATTGAAGCTTTGAGGGTCGTGTTGAACTAGGAGACCTCCTGGATCCTTTAGATTTTAAGACCATAGGATTCTGGAGTGAAGCTAAATGTTTGAAATGTTAGAAATATTATGCAACTGAGAACCTAAAGTGTGGTCTCAATGCTTCAACCACAGAACAATTCTCTTTCACTTGCAACTGAAATATTAAGCCATAATATTCACACCCAGAATTTTGCTGGTGTTTTTAAACCAGCACAGATTAGTAACCTATTTATGATTTAAATGATTTATGATTTAATGATACAATGAACAGTTGCTTTTTTTTTCTTAGTCTGCCTATAAACCATTTAAGTATATAGAGCTTTCAACATAGGAAAGGTAATTGATACCTCAAATTTTAAAGTGACAGTGCCTCAAAGGTTGATCCAGCATGTAACTGAGATTTTCCTTCTTGAAAACACTGTTATTTGTGGTGTGTTGATATTTAAAACATTTTGCTCTTTTACTGTTCGACCAGGGTTTATAATTACTAAATAAAGAGAAGATAGAACTGTTTTCAAGATGAAAAAAGAAAAATATTTTAGTTGTATTTAGTTAGAACTTTAGATATAAAAACAATGGCCCTGCCATTTTATATCTCATGGCAGGAGCGTCTGATAGCAAACAAGGAATTATTTTAAGGATGGAGCATGAACTACATATGTGAGAATATTGGCATCAAACTTGGCAGTTGGAGCTCTGAATTACTGTGGTTAAAAATGACAAACACATATGCATTTACAGTCTGGCTGTGGCAGCAGGAATTAGGAGACTGCTCTCAATGTACATAATAAGTATATACATAGATTGTAAGCACAGAAATCTGACTGTTCAACCAAAACAGCACTTCTTCATGAATGGAGTCCTTGTAAATGGAACTCAGTGTGATAAAACAAATAACAATTGATGCTCCAAGTAGTGCATCTTTCCATTTAGTAATTGATAAATGAAAAAAAAAAAAAGTAACACATTATGCTAACTTGTCTCCTAAGACAACCAGTGCTCTTGTTCTGGGCACCTTCAGGTTTGCCTGAGGTCACCCTGTTAATCCTATACCTGGACTAAAAATCTGCATATGTGATTTGGTACCGGAAAGAATGTCCAGAAAACAAAGAAGTTAATTCTTCTTGACAAGAGGTTCTGATTTTTTCCTTAAGTATATCCTTACGACTGTAGCAAATTATGATAATTTAGGCATATAGATTCTTTCTCATTTTTCCTGAAGAGATTGCCCCTTGGTAACTTCTGCCTAAAAATAATTTTAGAAGATGAGCATATCAATTCTTTGCACAAAATGAAGAATTGATAAAATTGAAAGAAACACATTGATTTTCTTCTAAGAACATGCAAAATTAAAAGAGAGAAAAAGGGCAAACGACTTGATATCCATGGTGAATCATTTCCAAAGGAATGTTGCTTTCAATTCTAGTGCAGAATATACACAATGTGCTATTAAAATGTGAAAAAATTGAATCTTCATTCGTTGCCTGATTAAGTCCCTCTCAAGTACCTAATATGGATTGCAGTTACTTTGTGAAGCACAGTAAAAGATGAATGACAATATTCTTGTTTTTGGGTTTATTTTACTGTGTCATGAGAGTTTGCATATTTGTTGGGCATTTAAAATGCTGGCCAACATAAAACCTCTGATATTTTTCTTAACCGCCCCGGATAACACTGGAATGTTTTCCTGCCCTTTCCTAACGCAAAACCATATTGTTTTTCACGGGCTTAAAATCTCCCGCCTTCTACCTTTTCATATAATGATTCATATTCATTGAAAAAGAAAAGGGTAGGAAGTCTTTATCTTTCCACAGCTAACCATTCATCCCTGAATTGTACTTTTTTCTGGTTTTCAGTTAAAATGAAGGTGACATTGTGTCCTAGTGAAGACCAAACTGCTGGAACTTTATATTCCATCCCTTCACCTTTCCAAAACTTTGTTCCCATGTTGATTTCTCATCTCTGGTCTGTCTTCAGCTTTTCCTCTCGGCCAGGTCAACCCCAAGCTTCTGTCTTAAAGAAACCTTCTTCTGACCTTCTCGCTCCAGTAAGTGCTCGACTTCACAGCTCAGCTTCTTCAAAGTCTGTGTCCACAGCTTGTCTTTCTGTCTTGGTAGTCAGCAGGCCTACTGCAAAATGTGAACTGGCTTCCTGGCCCCACGCTGTCCACTCTCCCACCCATTCCCTGGGAGCGGCCAGCATGCTCCATTGAAAAAAATTTGTTAAAGTGAGATAATGTTTAGATATAGCAAAATATACAAGTCTTAGCATTTCCTGTTCAGTCTATGTAACCAATATTGCAGCCAAGATATAGAACTTTTTCATCCTAGAAAGTTCCCTTTTAAAAATAGAAGTCAAATTATCTTTTATATATAGCTTCAAAACATGGAAAACAGTTCTGTAAATTGTTTAGTGAAGCTTGTGTAAGACATGAGAGTATAAAGTCATGCAGAGGAATGAAGGACACCAAATTCAGGAGATGGATAGAGTGTGATCATTATATGCACAAACAACAATATTGAGACTTTTATATCTTGATATTGGAGGTGGCCACGTCTTATTAGTCTTTGTACAACTTTATGTGTGATCAAATATGTTTTTAAACTTATTTTTTAAGGAATATACATTGAAAAGGGCATAATACTAAGTGTGGAGCTTGATGAATTCCCACAAAGTAAATATATCCTTGTAATCAACTGTGCCAAGAAGGAGAACCGTCCCAAGCTCACGGCAGCTTCCTTTTCCTTCCTAGTTCCCAGTGCCCCAGATACCCATTATCCTAACTTTTGACATCAAACTGCAATTCTGCTTGGTCAGAACGTCATTTCAGTGGAATTATAGCTCCTCTGAATCTGTCTTTTTATGTTCATATCATTTTTATTGCTGAGTAGTATTCCAATGTATAAATATGCTATAAATTATCAGTTCACCTACAGCTGGACATTTGAGTTGTTTCAAGTTTCTGGCTATTACCCACAATGCTTCTCTGAAGGTATATTTCTGAACAAGTCATTTTGTGGCTATGTGAACATTATTGGTAAAAACAAGACAATAGGAAATCCCCAATAATTACTATATTGCACATTGTTATCCTTTAAGTAGATGCTCAGATCACAGGCTTTAGGTCTGCAAAGTCAATCAAACAATACAAGCATTAAGTTCTGTGTTTACTTCAGTTGCTGTCAGCCGAATCCGCCAGCTCCTTGGGGCAGGGGATATGTTCTCTCTCCGCCTGCCGCTGTTCCTGGGTCCCTGTGTGCCGACCTTGCTCTCTCCTGGCCAGCCCCACCACTGCTCCTGGACAGCATTTTAATTCTATGTATCCCTCACCCTTTTTGTATTATTGTTATCATTCAAGGCTACAGATTTTTTAAAACCCATTAGATATTATTTTTATTTTTCCCTTCTTTCCTTCCTTCCTTCATTTCCTACTCCACCCTTCCTTTTCTCCTTTTCTCCTTTCTTCTTTCCTTCTGTGCTAGAAATGGAATCCAGGGTCTCCTAACAAGACTACATCTCCATCCCTTTTTGTCTCTTTTTGTGAGGCAGGCTCTTGCTAAGTTGCTCAGGCTGGAACAGACTTGAGATCCTCCTGCTTCAGCCTCTCCGCATTCTGGGATTACAAGTATGTGCCACCATGCCTGACTTTTAAAAATCAATTTAAAAAATCAGTGCTCATTCTCATTTACCAATGTGTTTAGTGTTTTCCCATTGCCCGTTACTTTTTCCTGTATTATCATGCTTTCTTTCATCTGGGATCCTTTTCTTCTGTCAATGTGATTCCCATTAACAATTTTTCATTCAGGCTTTGCTGGTAAAAATTCCTCTGCTTTTACTTCCCTGAAAATGTTCTAATTTTACCTTTATTTTAGAATACTTTTGTAGAGATAAGATACTATACTTGCGTTTCCCCCAGCACTTTAAAATACTATTCCATTGTTTTCAGACTTGCATCACTTATGTTGACTAATCAGACATCAACTTAGATTTTTAGTACTCTTTTGAAGGCCAGATTTTTTTTCCTGCGTCTACTTTTAGGATTTCTTCTTGTGTTTAGTTTTCAACAGTGTTTCTGTTGTGTTACTAGGTGTGGCAGTGTTGATTATTTTTTGTCGCTTATTTACTGTTAATCCTGCTTTGGGTTTTTATTGATTTTTGTATTTGTGCATTGATATCTTCAGTAAGTTTGCACCTATCTTTTGAGACACGTACTGTTTCATTATTTCTCTCTTCTGTGCCTTATATCTATATCTTTTTATGTATCACACCTCTT